TTTGGCCCTGTTCCGTGGTGCTCGAAATCCCACTATTTTGACACCATGTTACATATTCATGACACAGACGCCATTTTGGGTCTACATTCAAACCACGTTGTTTAATGCCATTGGTTAAACAATAACTCAACACGTGCGCAACTATGCATAATGGTCAGTGGTATTCTCATATATAACAAATTCCTGTCGGGGACTCAGAATTTTTCTTTGTCCCACGCTCGTGTCATGTTGATTAATTCACCTTAATAATAATTGTATTTCTAATATATATCCATACATTTCTAAGATTTTAAACCTAAAAACCTTTGGCAAAAATTTATTAGGTAAAAGATTAACAACTTTTTCGCCTATCAGGAAATCAGGGTTAAATTGACCATGATTAATTTTACAAATGACTGTTTTCCCCATGTTTCATAATAGGTAATCATTCTGTTGCAGCAATAAAAGTCCCAGAAGAGTACGAGGCCCTCCGGATTGCTCTAGGCAACATTAGGACGGAGGTCAATAACCTAATCACCAAAGGCTTTTTGGAGATTGGAGACAGAACTGTGAAAGTGGAGTTCTTCCTTTGGGGTGACTACAAGGTACATTGTCTTTCAAAATTAACTTAATTTTGCTAAGCTGAATGAAAATTTGGTAGAGTAGAGACAGCCTAGACTGGCAAATTAGAGACTTTCTTTCCCCAATTTTATCTTACCTAAAGAAAAGAAACATCCTCTTTAAATTAATTATAATGTCCCTTGTTTCAATATTTATCAAAGCAATGTTATTTCAATTTTGGTCACAGTTTCTCCTTCTGGCACTGGGTATGAAGTCTGCAACTTGCCACAACAGTTGTATTTTGTGCAAGGTTCACATCAATGAAAGGTATACAAAGAGCATAAACATTACATCATTACATGCTCTAGCACTTTTTTATTCTGAATGCTTTTCATGCAAGTATAAGCTTGTAGGTAATTTCATTACAATACCAATCAACTTATTTTTAAAAAAAAAAAAATCTGTTGAACAGGTCAGATCTCTCAAAACCACTGAACTACTTTCAAACAGTACAAATGAAGAGAAGGATAGACAACACTTGGGCTTCAGATCCTGGTTGCAAGGGTCAACCATTATTCAGTGTTCCCCTTGAAAATGTTCTCATTGATGAGCTACACTTGCTGCTTCGCATAACAGATAGATTGGAGCATGACATCATCCTTGAAGTAATTGGATGATATGAGGTATTTAGACATGTTTATGCACTGGTACATGTATAAAGATTTTTCTGATTATAATTGATAGTCAGTCGGTTGGGTCAATCTCATTATTTTCATTCTCTTTGGCGGGAAGAGAACGTGGGTAAACCAAAATCAGCCCACAAAACCACACACACAGACAACTTCATCAAAGTTGTCAGGTCAATGGGAATATCTTTCCAGATATGGACCAAAAAGGACAGAAAAAACTTCTGAAGGACTTGCCTGCAAAGTTTCATGAAATTTTACACCCAGAAACAGTAGAAAAAACCAAAAAGCTCTGGGAGGTGTGTTTAACTGGAATGACTCTATGCTTATCTAAATTTCTTTAACCCACTGTGTGCTGCGGGACAAATTGCTGACAAGTACACAACATTGGTGAGGCAAAGCATGTGAATTTTTAGCAGCCGTGTTTGATGCTAATGATGATATTGAGACTGAAAATTGGCTCATGGTAGACACGTAGCTTGGAAAACAGGGCTATGATGAGACAAGAATTCATTTAGCCTGAGATAATGATTTAAATTTTTTCCAATACAGGACTTCTGGCAGTTGTACAATGTCATTAGTGACTGGACACCAGGGGAAGATCAAGTCCTCTCATTTTATTCCAAGGTAAACTCATCACTTACAATATAATGTGTTCATAAGGTGAAAAGTTACTATTCAAATATGGAATAACACATCCAGTTGGTAAAGAAAATCCAGATTCCATACCAGAACTGATGAATAAAATTAATGTGTTATGTATATTAGATAAGCATTGCTATCCCACAAAAACAATGCAGTACTGTTTGCACCACGGACTGATAGATCTTCAAATATTTTTAAACAGACTGTTGAGTGGGGAAAGCAGCTTTTGAACATGACAGGGGATGGTTACGCCCACACATGTCCAATCACACCGTACATCCATCTGATGATCTATCATGTACCTGTGATGCTTCAGAAGTATGAGACTATGAAAATATTCACTGGCCAAGGTAAGATTTACCACAGCAAGAAGGGCAGCTTATCAACATGATTTGGTTTTTAAGTAAGATTCAA